CCTCTTACCTTTCTTAGAGGGTTTCCTTGGAGTAATAAAAAAAACATAGTAGAGGTAAACAGAAATGCTGTTATGATGGAGAGATGGTGGAATGCCTGAACTCTTCTTTAAAATGTTCTTTTCTATGACTTTCAGGTGATCATCAGTATAAGCATCCGATTTTAAGCAGTGCTACCCAGACCCCTACACACGGTGAGAGATGATTGAGAGCACTCTGTATACCATCCTCATTCCAAGTGGCTCAATCCTAACTACAGATGCCTCTCAGGGCATCAGTGATCGCCCCTTGAAATCATTGTGCCCTCGGTGTTTCTGTCTCTAACATCAGAATGGTTTTCTGTCATGAAAGAGAAGCTCGTCCCTTTCTCATAAAAAGAAAACTCATTTATATTTGTTATTTATATTTCTTCTTGCAGTCATAAATTCCATATGTGCACGACAAGAAGATAGATGCTTTCCTTTGCCTAGAGCTACTTGTGGTATCATTTACAAATGATGAGAGACTGGGTTAAACTATCTTGATCTTCCCAAAACTAATTAAGATTTGAGAAAATTCCAAACTAATCTGAGCCTCTTTGGCAAGAGAAGAGGATACAAGTTGTACACCAAAGCAGTGTTAGCATAGCACTAAAAGGTTGTAAAATCATGTTTCTCTCTTGAGTTCTAATGCCTTCCCACCAGATGACAATATAAAACTTGTAACTACAAATAAACCTATTTGGGATACCTGCTCAAAACTTAGTTGAGTCAGGTGCCTGTGACTCACACCTATCATTCTAGCTACTCAGGAACATGAGATCTACGAATCAGGGTTAAAAGCCAGCCCAAGCAGGAAACTCCATGCGAGTCTTATCTCCAATCAACTACCAAAAACTCTAGATGTGAAACTATAGGTCAACTGGTAGAGTACTAACCTTCATCAAAGAAGCTCAGGCACAGCACTCAGGCTCTGAGTTCAAACTCTAGTTCAAACACACACACACACACACACATCAGTTGACCATAAGGTAGCCATGTACAATGTGAGCTATCAGTTATTCTTGTCTCTTTTTTAGTCATAGATTTTTATTATCTTTAAGTAGTTGTACAAAGGGGTTTTAATTTAACATGCCAGCTTAAGAGTACAATGCATTTTGATCAATGTCACCCCTTCCATTGCTCCCCCTACCTCGTGCCTCTTTGCTTTGAAAGAGCAAGAATCTGATGAGCAATAGTCTCAAAGATAAATTTGATAGTCCACCTGAAAGAGAGACCTACCACTCTCCTGTCAGTGTATGCCATATCTCAGCATTGAGGAACATGCTGATTAAGTGAAGGAGTGGGATAATTCAATGTGCTTGGGACTCACTGGAAACATGTGATAAGAACAGTAAAATAGGGGCTGGGAATGTAGCTTAGTAATAGAGTGCTTGTCCAGCATGCATGAAGCCCTGGGTTTGATTCCTCAGTACCACATAAACAGAAAGAGCCAAAAGTGTTGCTGTGGCTCAATTGGTAGGATACTAGCATTGAGCAAAAAAAGCTCAGAGACAGTGCCCAGGCCCTGAGTTTAAGCCCCAGGACGGGCAAAAAAAAAAGAAAAAGCTCAGAGAAGTGTCCAGGCCCTGAGTTCAAGCCCCACAACCAACAAAAAAAAGCAAAAAGCTGAACTAGAGGTATAGTTCAAGTGGTAGGGCTGCTAGTTGTGAAGGGAAAAGCCAAGGGAAAGTATAAGGTGAAGAGTTCTAGCCATAGTACCAGCATATAAAAAACAAAGAAGCCGGGGTCTGGGAAGGTGGCTCAGTGGTAGAGTGCTTGCCTTGCATGCATGAGGCCCTGAGTTCAATTCCTCAGCACCACATAGGCAGAAAAAAAAGCCAGAAGTGGTGCTGTGGCTCAAGTGGTAGAGTGCTAGCCTTGAGCTGAAGAGCTGAGGGACAGCACCCAGGCCCAGAGTTCAGGCCCATGACCGGACCCCAAAAAAAGAAGCCAACTGGGTGCTTGTAACTCATGCCTATAATTCTAGTTACTCTGAAGACTGAGAAATCTGAGATTTACAGTTCAAAGTTCACCTGGACAGGAAAGTCCATGAGCCTTTTATCACCAGGTAACCACGAAAACAAAACAAAACAAAAAAACCCAAGCATATATCAAATGTTTCAGGATGTAGAACAATTTGAAAAGAAAGTGGAGCTATCAGTTAAAAGAAAAAGAAGTTGATACCAATGTTGATGCTGATGGTGAAAACAGAAAGGAAGATTGAGATATGAAATAGTTTAAAGAAATAATTGGTATCTTTGTCCAGAGAGAGCCAATGATGAGAAGATAAAGGTGAGCCAAGGTTGGTTAGAAGGATGGAGGTGGTGATGAACAGGTCATTTTAATGAATCAAAACAATACCCAGTGTATATAGAGGGCGGAGTTGTCAGTGGAGAGTTTATAACTGGACTCCTTATATGTGATATAACTGTAGGAAATACAAGAAAAATGCAGAATTACAGTCTAAAGGGAAGTTAAAGCTAAAGATTTCTGATGAGCTTTGGGGTCAGTAATACACTTGGGAAGTGAGGCTAATCTGTGGAGGGTAGAGACAGAGGATCTGGGGGATTCCAAAGGTAAAGAAATAATAGGGAGCGCTCCCATCTGCTCGGTAGCATTCTGGAAAGAACCACCAAGCTGAGTTTTCTCTGTAAGTGCCAACACAAAAAGAGACAAATTGATCAAGATGCATTGTACCCACAGACTCTCATGTTAAATTGAAACACCTTCGTACAACTACTTCATTTTAAAAACATTAAAAGGAAACAAAAAAAGGAAGGGCCATCCTCTTTCTTTTCCTGTCTTCTGTCTTCCAGACAGTGCAAGGAAATGTGAGTAGGCAGGGCCCAGCGCCTTGAGAAGTTCATGATGCAGTAGAACCAGAGCTTTGTCTACACTCCATTTTTGGATGTTACCCTTTCCCAAGGAACTGGCAGCACAACTCTTAATAGAGGAGGGGACTTAGGTATAGTTGATTAGCCAAGGAACATTAACTGGACCCTTTGGGGGCCATGCAATATGAAAGAAGCCAAGTTGTCTTGCCAAGGAGATTATAATCTTTGGAGATCAACAAAATCAACTCAAGACAAATTCTTAGAGATCCATGAGAACTGGCTAGAAGAATGAGAGCCAGAAGAGCACATATAGTTGGCTGAAAAGAGGTGACAGGATCACCAATAAGATCTTTAAATAAGGGGAATATATGATAGAGGAAGGGTAAGGGAGGACATTTCAACAGAAAGGAGAATATGAGCAAGAGGCTGGGACAATTGTGGGGAGGGAAGGAATGGAAGTCAAAGCTAGCCTCACTGAGAGCCACATGTATGTCAACAGCACCCAGCAATTCAGCATGTGGAAGAAGGTGAGCGTTACAATGCCTTCATTGGAAGTAAGATGCCAAGGGGCAAATGGAAGTTTGTTCTCCAACATAATGAGAAGTGAAGAAACAAGAGCTAAGGGATTGGTGGCTATTAACCAAGTCGAGGGAGCAGCACTCCACTTCCTGGCATCTGTCCTGATCCATGCCAGGGAGGCTCTTTCCGTACAGCATGTTCTGATCTCTCTGGGATGCAGAGCATCCCCCACCCCCTCACATATGTACTGAGTTGGCATGAACACTAGTTTACTGGCTGAGAGCCCCTGGCTCCATCCCCAAAGTTGGGGGTGACAATGCAGGCAGGCAGGGATAGAGAAGCCAAGAGTTTCCAGTACTTTGGGGCAGCCCTTGGATAAGACCTAAGAATGGCTTCACTGTCTCCCAGGATCCACAGAATTCTTGCATGCTAAAATTCAGCACTCTTTGCAAAAGAGTGTGGGGGGAAAAAAAATCAGTCTTCCTGCACATCTGTCCCAAGTTAGTCTGGCTTTCTCTGGCCTTGAAATATCCCAGGCATAGAGGACAGACTGATGTGTAGTCAGACTCTCAAGCTCCAAATGACCTCACTTCTGGGAACAGTACCAGTATCTCCCAGGCAACCACCTGTTGACTGCATCTTGTGACTCTTCCTCTTCCTGTCCGATAAGCATGAGTGCTTGCTTGTACGCCTTCCCTGGAGTTCTGATCCTCTCAGAGTTCCACACTCGTGGCTGCTCCCTCATGTAGGCATGTACTTCTTCTCTCCTCTCCTATGTTAATCCTAATCTGGCCTAAAAGCCCAGATCACCCTGTATGCACCCCATTAGCCATCCACCTCCTTTCCCTTCCACCTTGTCCTTCACTACTTCCTTTAGTTTCTTCCCAGGCATGACACTGAACCACACTCCTGTTTCTGCTAAGTTTGGAATCTCAAGGCTCTGTCTCAGGGAAAGTGGAAGAAAAGAGGAGTGTGACATGCACTTTTACCAAGATTCTTTCCTCTAAGGCTTAGAAATGTTGGTAGGGGTGGGGGTAGTTCTAAGAAAGGGATTAAAATAAATAACCATAGGAATGGGGCTCCTGAATTCTGGTGAGGCCCAGGGTAGAAGCAGCTGTCACAGAGGTAAATCATACGTGGATGAAGCATGGGGAGCTGAGTATTAGATATTATTCCTCTATCGTAACTGCAGCTCCTTCAAATACAGATTTGCCTAGATCTACTAGGAAAGGGAAAGAACTTTCACACAGAAGTAGATGACTTTATAATGTTCCTCAGTTGTATCAGGTTTACATGTCCCTTAGGCAACCCAGGGATATGTCTGCTGTCATTTCTTAGAGCTGAGTCTTCCATTCAAGTAATGGTTATCTGCCAGGAGGTGGGGATGGAGGGGCGGTCAGAGGCAGCTACGACAGCATCTGCCCCTACTTGAAGTTGATTACTGGAACTGAGCCTGAGGGAAACGAAGTCACAGAATCTCCTGTGTCCTGGCATAAAGGACCAGGAAAGGAGGAGGGAGGGGGGCCTCTAATCAGAGATAAGACAGAAAGCACAAAGTGAGAATTTGGGTCATCTCCTCTTGCCTGCCTTTATCTTTACTTCAAGTTTTACCTTTCCTTTTTCTTGCAGAGAAACCACGGATGAACAACATCCTGACATCGGCTACAGAGCCCTACGATCTCTCCTTCTCCCGCTCATTCCAGAACTTGGCCCACTTGCCCCCATCATATGAGTCTGCAGTAAAGACTAACCCAAGCAAGTACTCATCTCTGAAGAGGCTGAGTAAGTCCAGTTCTCCTGGTATTGAGTTTGGGCTTTCCAAGGCATCCTCTAAGCAGAGGATGGGATGAGCCTTCACCTGAGGCCATCTGTGGAATTCTAGCACAAAGAGAGAACCATATTTTGAAGAAGAGACTAGAAAAGCCCTTTGGTTTTATTCTTTAGGGCCCAATTCCATCTTAGGGCTCAGCAGGCAGGGTATACCCATCAGTGATTTCTGTTTCCCAGGACCTATGTCAAAAGCAGGCAACATTCTCATACCTGGCAGAGGCCTTGTGGACTACCTATAAGAGATCACATTGCTCAAATTTAGAGCAATGCAGGTTTGCAAGTGTCCTGATTTAAGTATAAGAACCATAAGTGCAGGTGATGGGAGAAGGTGTCAGAGTGTCTAAATCTGAAGTACCTTCGTAGGTACTTCAAGTTGGCTGTGTTGCGAGCATAAGCAGATAATCTGCAGACTGATGTCAGGGATGCCCATGCACTGACTTCCTGTGCATTGGGCAGTTACTCCAGAGAAGGTGTTACTCTGTTCCTAAGCTACCAGCTTAGCCTTTGCACAAGGGCCTCTTACTTGGGCCTCCTTATTCTATGATGGAAGCTGATTTCTGCAGCCCAGCTCAGGTGTGTTAGTAAGACTGGGAATCATCCTCTAGATATGATGGGGACTAGAGGATCACAGGCTTGGCCTTGCCATCAACTCTACCATGAGCTCACAAGGGATGCCCAGAAAGTGCCTTAACCCTGGTCTATTCAAGGTAGTCTTTGGGCCCACCCTGGTTCTGTAAGTACCAATCTGCACACGTCATAAGGTCCAGAGATTGATTTGCACGTGGCCTATCTGAGCCTCCCTATCTTCCTCTGTAAACTACATTATCCTTGGGTGCGCAGCAAGAGGGCTTATGGGCTCTTCTGTCACTCACTGCCTCCTCTGTGTCTGTGTCTCCCCTGCAGCTGACAAGGAGGCTGATGAGTATTACATGAGGCGGAGGCACCTGCCAGACCTGGCTGCCCGGGGCACGCTCCCCCTCAATGTCATTCAGATGTCACAGCAGAAGCCACTGCCCCGGGAGCGACCCCGCCGGCCCATCCGGGCCATGTCCCAGGACAGAGTCCTGTCTCCAGAACGGGGTCTGCCGGATGAGTTTGGCATGCCCTATGACCGCATCCTGTCCGACGAGCAGCTGCTCTCCACGGAGCGCCTGCACTCTCAGGACCCGCTGCTGTCCCCTGAGCGGACGGCCTTCCCCGAGCAATCGCTGTCGCGGGCCATCTCACACACGGACGTCTTTGTGTCCACGCCAGTGCTGGACCGCTACCGCATGACCAAGATGCACTCCCATCCCAGTGCCTCCAATAACTCCTATGCCACCCTGGGCCAGAGCCAGACGGCGGCCAAGCGCCACGCCTTTGCCTCGCGCAGACATAACACGGTAGAGCAGCTGCACTACATCCCGGGTCACCATACCTGCTACACAGCCAGCAAGACCGAAGTGACCGTGTGACTCGCCAGGCAGGGCTGGGCCACACTGGACAGGGTGGCGTGGGGCCAGAGAGGGCATCAGGAGCAGAGTTTCCAGCCTTGCTCCTCTCCATGACCAGGTCCCCTTGGTGGGAGCTGGGTGGGGGGAGGTTGATTTGGTCCAGAAAGCCATACTCCGGGGCAGTCACAGCTCCCACCGCCTGACCCAACATAGGAGGCCCTGGATCTGGAGAGATTTTTCTCTTTCTCTTCCAGTAGAGTTCACAGGAAGTGAAGAGAAGGACAAGGCCCTAGTGTCTTCCCACTCACAATCTGGACCCTTCAGTCCCATGGTTCCCCCTCCACCTCCCTCCCTCTCTCTCTCTCTCTCTCTCTCTCTCTCCCCCCCCTCCCCAGACTCAGTTGCAGGTTCTGTCAGCCAAAAGACCTTCCAATGACCCTGATCTGAAGTTGCCTGGGTTTGAATGGCCAGCCGGCATGGTCAGTAGGGCTGACCCAACAGGCTCCTCGGTCTCATTCATTTAACCTAGAACTGCATCACACACACAAAAAATCTTCTAGTGCCTAAAAACTGCCTGCTCGCTCTCAGCCAGAGAGCTGCTGTGTCAATAAGCACAATAACGATTCTCTTTTGCCTGCTGAAACTCTGACCCCCCCTCCCCCCCAGTAGCTCTTCCTTTGCTGACCCCCCCCCCCCAGAGCCTTAATGCGGCTCTGTATCCCTTCAACCTCTGGACAGGGAGGATTCCCTTCCTTTAGTTGCCTGTCCCATTCCAGCTGGCTGCCCTGATCCCTGTCCTAAGAGGGGTTGGCTCCCCTGCATCTAGCTGCTTTACTATCAAAGCTCTCTGGGGCTTTAGCTCTTAACCTCCAGAGAAGTGTAAGTGATGTGTTGCAGGGACTTGAGGGGTAGCCTCCAGCTACCTGATTGTCTCCTCTTTTCCTCCGGGCCTTTAGGTCTGAACGATGACCGCCACTCAGGCCTGCCTTCTCCACCCCTGCTCTGCTCCCAGATGACACCTATGGTTTTAGTTAGAGAAAGCCAGGTGGGGAGGGTCACTGTGATGCCCAGTACCTCAGGGGCTCACCATTCCCATTTTTCTAGGACTCTGCCTGCCCTCCCTCTCCCCACCCCATGCACCTCAGGCAGGACAGAGGCAGAGGCTTTTAGACAATGCTTAGCCAGAAAAACAAAAAAACAAAAAAAGGAAGACCTCTGAGAGGTCATTGTGTTTCATCCTTTTCACTTCTCTCTGCCCAGTCCACCAGCCCTTTCTCTGTTTAGAACTCACTCTCACTTTCCATCTCTCCTTTCCCACTTCCTGTCTCTGCTCCCCACCCTTGTAGCTCCTGTAAACTCTCCTGGATGTTCTTTCCTCAGATCAGTGGATGGAAGAGACCAAGACCCATTGGCAGATGTAAATAGATAAATTGTACTTCAGACTACTAATCTGGGGGATTGCTGGACAAATCCACAATGTAGAACTTCCTCACTACAGAGAGAACTTGGGCATTGGGTAGATGCAAGCCCACTGTCAGCTTTGTAAGCTCATTTTAGCTCCTTGTGTGACAGGGTGTGACCACTTATGGGACAGAGAAACATTCAATTCCCCAATACCACACACACAGAAAGAGAAGGAACTTTTCCCTTTTCAGGGCCAGGGCACCTCCCTGGGCTGAAGCTGGGCAGGGGGAAATCAGCTTAAATGGCTAGTGATGGTGTGATAGTAAACACAGAACTAACTGCTGCCAGAATCCAGCCACCAGTAGGATTGTACATTCCCTTAGTTCTATATTAAAGGTCCTTTAATGGGAGGAATGGGGAAAACTTCTCAGTCTCTGCCCTGGGAATGTTTAATCCAACCAAGTCTACAAGCCACAAGAAATCGATGAGTTGCTTCTCCTATAGATTTCAGGCACACCATAGCTCTTTTCTCTTCCTGGGTTTGTTTTCCAATGGGATCAGGAATACACAGCATGAATCAGGAGGGGATAGAGGTTCAGAACTTCCCCACTGGGGAGATGTCTCTACAGCTGTGAGACTGGAAGGTCAGAGTCAATCCACTCTGCTTTTGTCCCCTCAAGCACATAAACCTTCTTATGGGCTGGTCCCCACAGGTTTATGAGCATTTGTTCCAGAAGCTGAAGCTAAGAAGGCTAGAAAAGAAGAAACTAGTCTAAATAAAGCAGGGAATCACTCTAAGAAGCATGGGTGTGTCTCACAACTGGTCCCCTAAGCCGGTTTTCTAGGTTAACTAGATAACCCTTAGGCAGTTCCTGTGAGGATCTTGTGCTAATTGGGAGGGGAAAAGGTAGGATGTGAAAGAGTGGGAACTCTATTCCATAAATGTCTATCAACATACACACTAAGCCAGTAATCTCGTCTCATCCCTTGGAAGCATCTTTTATACACCAAGTACTCCCCTTAAGTCTTCCCCAATCCTTTAGCTGAAAGGGCATGTCTCTCTGTCTGTCTGTCTGTCTCAGGGCTTATTTGATAGATTGATTCTAAAACATTTCTCATCCAGCTCTTACCACTATTTGCTAAAAAAAAAAAAAACAATCCCCCCCAACAAAACAAACAAACAAAAAACCTTGAGTGTCAGTTGGATTAGAAAATTCTACTAAAAGACTTATTTATTTTCAAGGTTTTCTTTCCTTCCATCCCTTGGATCTAGAAGAGAGATATGGAAAGCAGGGAAAAAGAAAGAGAAAGAAATAGGTCTATAAACTTCTGCAATACAAACTCCCATTTCAAAATCCAGAAAGCATATGTCTTAACAAGGATGTAGAAGTACAGTAGTATCTCTTTAATTGCTGCTCTGCATTATCATCCCGATTTCAGTTGCCCATGGTCAACCATGGTCTAAAAAATACTAATATTTGTCTTGGCTCTTTCAAAAGAGCATCCATACTCACATAATCTTCTATTACAGTATGTCATTATAGCTGTCCTGTTTATTACTTATTACTACTAATCTCTTCCCTTGCTTAATTTATAAATTAAGCTTTATCAAAGATATATATATATACATATATATATGAATAATAGTATATCTAGGGTTCAGTGCTATCCACAATTTCAGGCATCTACTGGGGGAGGGTCTTAGCACATATCCCTTGGCAATAAGTGGGGAAACTAGTGTATACCATGAATTCAGTTTTTTCACTGCTGTTTATGAATGAGCAAAGCCACACTGCCAGATAAATCCAAGTGAGAGGTTCTGGGGCTAGAACCCTCAATTCCATCCAAAGCCAAGTGGTGTCTTCTGCCACATATACAAGAAGGGCCATCCCTTCCTCATCACAAAACCCTCCTGCCCTTAGCAAAGGAAGCCAAAAGCCCAAGATTTCCCTCTGATTGCCTTCTATTTCCTGCATGTCTCCATTATTCTGCTAGGATCAGTCTAGGTTCTGTAGAGGTCTCTCCTGCTCTGAATCTCCTCATGAAGATCTTAATATATTCTTCATTCTCCCATCTTTCCTTCTTACTTGCTCCAATGAATTCCTGGTGTAATGTGTCATGAGTCACCAAGGATTGCTAAGAGTTTCTAAATCTCCCCCCTCAGGACTCCCCAGTGTCTTAGGCAATGCGTCTGCCCTTTGGTAAGTTCCAACATTTCCCCCAGCTGAAATTTCCCCTCTTCTCTTACCACACTCACTTCTGTCTTGACCTCCATCTTTGTGTGAGTTCCCTCTTTCCTTCCTTACATCTTTTTCTACATCCTTGACTTCCTTCTCCTGGCCCTGCCATAGACTCTAGTTTTAAGAATTAGAGATCTTTATGAATCGATGGAAGAATCAGACATTCTTCAGGTCCTGTGTTTATTTCAGTAGCTACTCCTCTGTTTCCTACATCTGTGAGATCATGCCCAAGACCCTGGGACCTAGCCTCCCTCCACCCTGATCTTTGGGAAGGAAGGAGTAGAGCTGCCAGTTCAGATATGGGATGGCCAAAAGATCAGCTTTGGCTCCTGCCGCTGCAAGAAGTTCCTGACCCAGCCTGCTAGTAACCCACAGGCTCCTGCTTTGGCCAAAGATTCTTCCTCTCCAGGACTTGAGGCTACTGCTCCCACCCACTCCCCCTTCCTGCTAGGGTACATCATAGCTCTCATGTTGTCCCTAAAGGTTTGAGGGCCTCATAACTTGCCAAGCATAGAGGAATATCCTTCCCAACATCCCTACTACCAAATGTAATCCATTTCCTTTGGAGATACCTTGGCTGGCACAGTTTTCCTGCCGTGATTCCTTCCATAAACAACTGTGAACTTGATTCAAGGCTATGTTTAGAAGAGCTGCCCATCACTTGGACCCTAAAAGCTACTTGAAGAGTTGACATATTACCTCCCACTGTTTCTCCCTGTCATCCATTCTGCATCTGGGAAACTTCGTTCTGGAGTTATTTTCAAGGAAGCTTCTTGTGTTTTAACAACGTAGTCTTCAGAGCTCAAATGTTATGTTTTTTTTAACAAATGCACCATTTTAATGGTAGATTCAGTCTTCTTAGCTCTATATTTGATGTTGGAAGGAGACATATTGAGGAAGAACAAGAAGAAAAGGAAAATCAAAGCACAAGACGAAGGCACTGGAGATCCAGCTTCCAGAGCTGTTGTCTCCATCCTGCTGTGTTTCCAAGGACAAGTCATGTTCCCACTCAGTGCCTCAGTTTTCCCATCTATAAACTGAGGGGCTTTGATAGATGGGCCCTGAAGTTTCATCCAGTGGTTACATATTAGCGCTTTCATTTCCCATCCGTAATACTTTCCTTCACTGAATTCTTCCCCATCTCACCTGAGCTGTACCCATCCCACTAGCCAGATACCCTAGACAGCCACCAGACTCCTCACTGGAGCTGGATAGTCCCGATGGGTTCAGTTACCCACAGGTGTTCACATATCTGAAAGATAAGAGCCTGACCATTCAACAGGTCACCAACTATGTGTCACAGAGGCCTCTCGAACAGACACACACAGCTAGGTGTCTGTGTCACAGGGAAATTCAGAGTTACAGTTTTCATTTTTC